ATATATATATATATATATATATATATATATATATATATATATATATAAAGGATAAAGGTAACAAAAACCAACAGTCAAAGCACCCATCTCCTGAATGACATGAACAATGTTGTATATGAATGGCTACAACAGCACGTTTGCAGAAGTAGATTGTGTAAAATGTTCATTAATTCATTCAACCTTTATTTAGACAACTGGAATAGTGTAAATGCTGAATCAGCGTCCATTCAATAATACAAAAAAAAGTTTTCTTTTTGTTTATTATCTTGAGACGTGTAGTGATTAAGTTTCACTCACCGCAGCAGCAAAGGAATCATCCAACTACCAACCAGCAACATCATTTCCTGGATGAGTCAAGGGATCTGGTTCCCAGCTGGAACCAGTCCTCTTATCGCCTGGTCCCAGGTCCTGTTCCCTGGTCTGCAAGGAGGGTGCTCAGCTGAGATCCAACCATCTGTCTCCCTTTGTTTATGTCGCTCCAGTGGGTGCTCGCCAAGTTCTGCAGGTGTCCTTTCATTCATCGACTCAAACGCAAAATGCTCGTTTTCAAGAAAAACAATATTTCATTCTAGACTGAAGTGGAAAAAACAACATTAGTGTCTGTTTTTTGTCTTGTGTAAACATTAAACACATTTTAACACGTCTACTCTTATTACCTTGTTCAGTTTTTCTTGACTTTTTCTGTTTAAAAGACCAAAGATTTTTTTTTCTCAAGCAAGAAAAGGAACTGCTGCGATGCGCATGCTCAGTCAGCAGGTGGTGACATCAAACTGAAACTCTCCAAAACAAAAAGACAAACTTGAGCATATCTTTAAAATGCAGCTCGATCTTCCTTTGACACAGTTCACCTTTTGCTCTGAGTAATTATTCCTTAAGCTGGAACAAAATTTTGGTTAAAAACCCCTAAATTCTTTGTTTTAATTTCTTGTACTTAACCAAAGTAGCATCATGGTTATCCCCTAATTTGCTTGTCAAGTAAAAATAAGATTTTTTTTAGTTCTCGGTGTGAGTAAGACCAGACTTTTCAAATGTGTTGACCTTTAGTCACATTTAATATTACAACCACTTCATCTGCTTTCACACATTAAAGAGAAACTACTTTACGACACAAAAAGGTGATTAAGAACCCTTTTCTACAGCCAGTTGGTTTGTCCCTTCTAGGCTCCTGTAGAATAACCATGTGAAGAAGATGACTGTTTTTTTCTTAGCCACCTTAATACTCATTTCTAATTAAACAGTATGTGGAGCAGGCTAATTACACAGAATGCATTTCCATGGTAACAGCTATTAAAACTTGTGAAAGTGATTCAAAGTTAAAATCAGATGGAGGAAAAAAGTAATTTTCTATTTAATTCCCTCTACGATGTTGAGAACAAAACTTAATTTTTGCCATTTTTTTAAAGCAAGAGTAATGTTTTTCTCAAGTTTTGCTTGATTGAGTGTGGAGCACAAAAGGTGCCAGATGAAGATATTAAAATTGCACCATTTTGCTTTTTTAATAAATACCACTGGTAACAATTTTAGTGTCGCCAAAATCAAATTTGATGTTTGTGCATCAGACATTTATGTCTCATTTAATTATCTGTTAAAGTAGAAACATGTTTGAGTAATTTTAGAAAGCTTCTTTTTTTATGTGTTTTGGCATTTTGAAGATGGCATGTTTGCAAAGGTAAGTAAAGTTTGTGATTTAACTATTTGATCTTAAAAGTGTAAATCTATCCAGCTTTTTAAGTGGCAAGTGGTTTGAGATATTTTGCTAACAGACGGGCATAGACGTCAACAAGACTATTTTTTACACACTGTATCTTGGATGTGATGGATGCTTGATGGGATGTAGCTGTTTTCTCTTTTGGAGGTTTCTGTGTTGATGGAATTTGCTTTTCCCTCCGAGTCATATGACCCAAGTCAGCAGCTGCAAACTCAGCAAGGAGGATCAGCCTCCACATTCTAGTGATGCCAGCAAATAGAAACCGAGCAGGACTCTCGATTCTCACCAGCATGACTTAATTACGTTCATTTTTTTTGCGGAACTGAAAAGTTAATTTGCATTATTTTTTTCCCCTAAAGAAAAAAAAAATGTAACTGCTTATCTTGCAGCTGCAGGATATTTGCATTCACCGTCGTTTTATTGGCAACAAAAAAAAAAAAAAAAAACGCGTAAAGTGCGCAAAATCAGAGGTTTGGCACACTTTTACGCGCGGGATCGTCGCCAAGCAAAGCGCCGGGGCGTCGTTCTTGGAGCTGCGATAAAACAAACAACCAAAAAAAAAAAAAAGGACCCACACGAACAGATTCGAGCTTTACTTTAGAAAAGTTTCATCACGATCCACGTGTCGACGCTTAAAGTAAGTAGAACCTCATATCTTTAGTCTGCTGGGGAAAATGGACACAGCTTGAACGGAACTTTTTTTCTCTCTTCTTTTTGCTGCATTTGCAGGAAAACCACGTCATTCTGTCAAACGACTCCCCCTCTTTCCTGCCTGTTGGACCATCATCTCATAGTCGAGGAAAAACCTGGACAAAGACATCATGATGACCGGATTTCGGCTCAACTTGTCTCCCCTGAAGGAGCCCCTGGGCTTTATTAAGCTGGTAGAGTGGGTAAGTCATGTTTGTCTGCTGTTTATGTGTCCAAACCCAAAGACAGAGGGAGATCCGGTCTCCTTTGGATTTTCTTTTCATAGTGATTGAACTTGAGCTCTGATTTAAGGGAGTTTTATGAGTTAAAGTGCTCAAACAGTAATGAGAATCTCTTCCTATCATTTTGTATAAAGTAATACGTAATGATTATGCCTTTATAATGCAAGAATCACTTGAAGAAATCCCCTGAAAGTGTTCGCTTAGATGAGCTTTTTCCTGCATGGGTGCTAAAACTTGGTTTTAAGCAGACAATGAATTCAGCTGGAACGGTTCTGGTTACAGATTAATGCGCCTCCCCACCAATAATTTACCCCAGAATAACGGCTCTGGCTGGTGGTGAAGCTTCTCAGCCTGAGAGGAAATGCAGATTTCTTGTGGAAAGTCCAGTAAATCGGTTCGACTTTGCATAACTGGGTCAGAGAAATCCAGTGAGGGTTAATGCCGTGCTGTTTTCTCATAATACTCCCCAAACGCGCACGGAACCACATAACAGCAGTCATCTGACTCAGATGTGTGTTGATGTGTTGACTCTACACAACTCCCACTTATTTTAAGACAATGGTAAAGGCTTTTGGCAAAAGCTGGAGAAAAAGGCAGCCCCAAAAATGTTTTTGCGGATGTTTGTGGTTCTACATCAGCTGCTGTGTGCAGTCCCTATGGCAAAGTTGCGTTTGATGGTTTGTTTGGTCCACCGAGCTGCACATTTGGCCAACCATCTGAACATAATCCAAAGTTACACATCACCACCAGCGTAGATGCAGTTTACAAGCTGTTTACCATTTACTAAGTTCTAGAATTGCGCCGCTCAAGGTGGCTGCATGTTGGAGTAGCTTTCTTACAATCAATCTGAGATTTTGCTTTAGAAAACTTTAATTACTCTTTTTTTCTGGATGTAAATCACTTTTTCAGATTATCATTTTCTCTGGTTTTGGATGCTGTGCAGCTGGAAGAATTTTTACTGAAACCTTTTTACTTTTGGACATTTGTTTTGCTGTGTAACCATAACAACAAGGTGGCTTTCTACAATTGGGAGCAGCTGATTAATATCTCAAAAACTCAAATAAAACCTCAGTTACAGCCCCAAATCCTAGATGAGTTGAAAAGGAGGTGCCGTGGATGCATTCCCATCTACCTGGCGGCAGTGTTCCAGTGCCTGACCACTGAGATTGTGGCGGTGGTGGGAAACGTGGCTCGTGACAGTGAGAAGACTGAGATCATCCCTCTGCACCTGCAGTTTTGTCAGCGTCAATGAGGGGCTTGGAAGGCTGCTGGGAGGAATGGCCATCGCTCGTGGAGGAGTTCTGCCCGGCATTCAGGTGGTCCTGCTGCCCAAGAGGACCGAGAGGTCTGCTGGGTCTGGGTGGACAGGTCGGCATCTGCAGCCAGTTTCTTCGGATCTGCTGTGGGCCGGACTGCTACAAGAGATCCTTCCTGCCCACAGTCATCAGCATCTATAACAACTCTAATGAAACCAAGATGAGCTACAACAACAATTAATTTCCGTTTGGGATTAATAAAGTATTTTTGAATTGAATTTAATTTGTCACTCTGGTCAGAATTAAACTTTATTTCACCAAATTGACATAACTCAAAGCTATCTACTATGTACTTTTGTTTTAATGCTATATTTACCAGTTTAGAGGTTAATAAAGGAAAATATCTCTGTCTAATAAGAGTGTCCAATGAATTGGTACATAAGTGGTTTGGTCAGAGCACTCATACCTCCATAGATGGTATCATCCAAGTGGTTGTAAACAGGAAAGGATGTTTGACTGAATGAATGCTTCAAATCTGCTGCATGTGCCCAACGAACTGAAAAAAAGAGGGTAGAGATGCTTTCTTTTCCCCCTTTCATTGGATAGATGACGGTGCAGCATGTCTCTAGTTCATGACCGTGACTCAGGTGTTCTGTTGAAGCAGGCGCACACTCCTGTGTTTGTAGGGAACTGGTTTCCAAATGGGTGGCAGGTGAATCCTGTGTGTCCACGATCTTTGTCGGGCGGCATTTGAAGAGTGAGCCTTCAAGCAGATTCAGCTTTTTCGGCAGGGGGTTCTGTTTGCCAGTAGTCGTGTTACTCAAGCTGCCTTTAAGAAAAATATAGACAAACTAATCTGGGGTCTGTGTGTACGCGACTCATGCTGGTTCTTAAAGTTTCTCCTGCTGCTGCCCCATGACCCCACACTGGAAGAGAGGCAGAGTCGATAAAACAAGAATGTGGCAGAAGCAGCTTACTGTGGTGTGTAGGGAGAAAAAAACAGGAAGTGACATCTGGAAAGACATCTGGAAAGAAGCCTTGAGGTGTGTGTGTGTCCACATGTAAGTTTTGTGGTTTAAAATAAATCTACCCTTGTAAGCAGTTTATTGGAAGCATGTGTAACCCTTTCAGTTTGTTGCGTAGCATTTTATTGTCCTTTGCTTATCAATTCAATCCATTTCCCGTTTTATGGCATAGGCTGTAGAAGAAAGGCCTTAAACGTTTCTCTAGAGGTAATATCCATTGACTTCTTTTAATTGGCATAAAAAAAACTTTTAGAGTTTTGGGGTAGACATTTCCCTAGTTCTTAGAGCATCTTACATAGCTTACATCCATCCATCCATCCATCCATCCATCCATTATCTTCTGCTTGTTCCAAAGTTGGGTTGCTGGGGCAGCAGCTTAAGCAGGGAGGTCCAGACATCTCTTTCCACAGCCACCTCTTCCAGTTCTTCTGGGAGGACCCCAAGACGTTCCCAGGCCAACCAAGAGAAGTAGTCTCTCCAGCGTGTCCCGAGTCATCCCCAGGGTCTCCTCCCAGTCAGGTATGCCCGAAGCACCTCCCTTGGGAGGCACCCAGGAAGCATCCATACCACATGGCTGAACCACCTCAACTGGCTCCTTTGATGTGGAGGAACAGCGGTTCTAATCCGAGTCTCTCCCGGATAATTGAACTTCTCACCCTGTCTCTAAGGGAGAGTCCAGCTACCCTGCGGAGGAAACTCATCTAAACTACATTAGCTTACATCCAACTTAGCTCTGTTTCCCACATATCCATGGGTCATAGAAGAGAGATGAAGGCCTCCTTCTCCCCAGCTACTGTCATGTTCATTGTAGAGTTGGACCCAGAGGCAGGCAGACACAGGAGCTCACGTAATACAAAAACTTATTTATTTTATAAACAAAACAAAAAGCCAACGTGGAGGCAAAAAAACCCCCAACTTACAACTGAGACAACAGAAGCACGAGGAGGACAAGACATGTGGGTAAAACCAATACAATGAGCTGCTGGTGGGGTGGGGACAAGAGACTGGCTTCATAGCAAACTGAGGCAGAGAGGAAAGTGGAAACACCTGAAACTGACACCTGGCAGGCAAAAACACCGAGAGCAGAATGGACCTGATAACTGGAAAAACTGAAACAAGGATTGATCTAGAAACGCAAACGGATAGGAGTCTAAACTAACTGGGAGAAAATATACAAAACTTACCAAGAGAACCTAGACGATCAATAACCACCTAAAATAAACTCAAAGAACCACTGAACAAAATATACAGATACACCCTATACCCTACAGCTTTTCAGCTAAGAACATAAATATATTTATCAGCAAGTCCAGAGGCTCTGAGGCCTCATTCCAGTGGGACTTGTATGAAACACCTCCCTTGGGGAGTGTCTGGAAGGCCTTGGGAACAGATGTTTTATCTATCTCAACTGTTGCCTTTTGATGGAGCAAAGCAGAGACTCCTAAGACATTCCTGTTCCTGGAGAACTGGTGTGGTCCTGAATGGGGGAACCTGAACAACCTTCAAAAGAAGCTTAATTAAACCTATTATATATATGATTATATTAATTTGATCCCTACCAATGGTTTAGAGGCATAGGAAAGGCTAAAAAACTAGAGTGACTGAGAAATCTAAAGCTTGGCATTTTGACACAGGTCTCAGATTTTTTGGTCTGCATTTAAGAAAATTCTGCCTCCATCTCACTTGGAGTTCAACTCATTAGGAATTGACTGACTTACTGCTGGAAAGACATACAAACTTTTTACATTAATTGTACAAGGGTCAAAAAGATGAGTACCCATTACTACCTCAAAAAACTTTGTCATGGGGTTTAAAGCCTTCTCATAGTAATGCAGAGTCTTTAGGCAGACGTTCAGGTACTTTGCAGTGTTGCCACTGTAGGACTGCTCCAGCAGAGTCACTTCCAAGCAACTAAAAGCCTCACTAACATTGTTTAATTGTAATACTCTGGAGTCCCTCAGAAGAACTCTGAGCAACAATGGCAGGAAGAAGATAGTTGATACAGTTTGCTGAAGATTGAACAAAGAAGCAAACATGTGTTCTATGAGGGAAAGATGTTTTGTGAACCGACAGGGCTGAAATAAAAGTTCATGTTTAAATGAAACAGTCATGTGTGGAGAAAGGACAAGGGGAATGTATAAGACATAGAAAAGTAGTATCTGGTCATGATAGATGGGGTTTTCCAGTGGAAAAAGCATATCTGGTCTGTGCAAGACTGCTGGTAGTCTTGCACAGACCAGATGAACTGGGATGTTTTAATTTTTATTTTGATAAAATGGCTGATATTCAATATTTAAATTTATTGCTCATATCGGCCGATACCATGCCGATAATATAGTGCATCCCTAGATGGTTTGGGCCTGTTTTGGTAAATCTCAGCTGGACTGTTTCCTGTCATGATAAAACAATTAAATTTGCTTTGGAATAATGAGTAAAATTTTGTCAAAAGTAGAATGAATTTGTAATAAAATCCAGCCATATGTTAGAATTATAGGCATGATTTGTCAAATTTTACTCTACAGTAACGTCTATAGTGTAAAGTCATATCACTGAAAATCTGAATGAACTTGATCCAATTATGGGGGGGGGGGGGGGTTTTCTGCTTTTGGAGGCCCAGATTAGTTGCAGTCACACAGACTAAAATAATTTAGCCTTTGTTGGTTTTAAAAGAAGGGAATTAGTATCACATGGTCGGCAAACTGAATCAGATGCTTTTCAGCAAGGATTCCAAAAGCTGCACGGGTTAATACATGAAACCACATGTCTAAGATGGCAGACACCATTATTTACTACTTGCTGTGTATTTGCCAATCATTTGGTCATTAAGCCTTTGTTGGCTAATATTAAGTGAATTAAGACAATTGTGTTTTAAAATTTAAGCCTTGTCGTTACGGTTTGTTCCAACAGCTGACAGCCATATTTGCTTTTGGAAGCTGCAGCGGATTCGCCGGGAGGAACATCATAACTCTTTTCTGTGGCGACGGCTCGAACACAACACTCAACGCCGATTTTCACTACCCTTTTAGGTAAGAATATGAACCCAATTATGTGTCTTTTGGTGAAATCTTGAATAGAGTAATTACATGAAACGGTGACTCATCAACAGTGACTTGTATCATCACCAGGCTGAGCCAAGTCCCACTCATTGAGGGAAACGCCACCGTCTGTAATCACTCCGTCACTACGACGCACATGGTGGGAGACTCAGCCTCTGCAGTGGAGTTCTTTGTAGGCATCGGCGTTGTTTGCTTCCTGTACAGCATGGTAGCTCTGTTGGTGTACTTAGGCTACATGCATGTCTACAAGGACTCTGACTTTGGACCTATTTTTGTAAGTACACATTAAACACACAAACCTGATATAGCATATAGGTTCATGCAGCTTCAGCAGTGTAAGGTAGTTCCTGTCTTTAAGGCTGTTTTTTATTTTTTTTTTCTGCTAGGACTTTATCATCACAGCAGTCCTGGTTTTCTTGTGGTTAGTGTGCTCATCTGCCTGGGCAAAAGGTCTGCAGAATGTGAAGGACGCCACGAATACTGAAGGAATCAGTGCCACGTTGGGCGTTTGCAAGGGCAGCAACGTTACCTGTGAGGTTACAGACTTTGCTAACATGCGGACCCTCAACATCTCCGTGGTAAGAAGAAATGCACATGAATGGTACAGGGCAGAGCATTTAGGTTGGCCTGGTTTCACTCAGTCTACAACTAAAGCAGGTCTAGTTCAAGTGATTAAGCTCCCTATGTATTTGGGGAATAGACATTTTAACAAAAAGCACTCTGAATTTGTCCAGTAGGGGGTTGATTTAAAAAATAAAATAAAATCTCCCACCACTCTTGTTTGGTTTAGTCACGCATATCTATTCCCCTCCATCCCCAGCCAGTCACTACACCAAACACACTGACTTGTGTATATTCTGAAACTGAGCTCACCCATGACCATAGTTTCCACCTTAGAATCCTTTCAAAATAAAATACAATGGCAGAAAGTCGCTGGAACGCTTTACATTGCTTGTCAGCTATGTGGTTTATTTTTATTTTTTGGAAGGGGTTGTTGAGTTAAAAAAAATACAATAAAAAGTGCAGAATATGTAGTTTTGAAAAACTTAATCTTGTTTGAATTAATACTGCACCCACATGCAACAACTAGTATAAAAAAAAAATCACATTTCTTGGCTCAAAATGTCTCACATTCCATCACATAAAGCCAACAGTCTTCATATCGCAGTTTAATCAAAAGTATGTGACTACAGCCTGAACCCTGCAGGTGTGGCTAAGGTCAAGTTTAAATATTTTAAGTAATATTTTAACGTAAGAAAATAAAACTATTACATTGGAAACATTATATTTACTTTGGTAGCACGTGTTTTAAAATGAGCTGAACTTGAAATGTCCATTTCAGCCACCTTGGCTAAATTGATGAAGTTGATCTTGGTTTAAAGAAGAGTATTCTTACCACAAAACAAGAATCAAAGGTCATACTTTAGTCATATATTTGAACCTTTTACAGCCCACTCAGTCATTTTTACTACCCCTCAAGAAACACATCTATTATCCAAAAGGATGAGATGCATTTAACAAATATAAATGATTTCTGTTCTCAGTGATGTTTTTATTGTCTTAACGCAAACACTGATTTTTTTTTTTTATTCTTCCTGTTAGTTCTTCTATTTTGAGTCAATACACTGTTGTGCACTGAACAACATTTAAACACTTTGGTTTTTGCTTCCATTTTTCATGAGCTGAACTCAAAGCTCTGACTTTCTGTGTGCACAAAAGACCTTTCTCTCAGATATTGTTCACAAATGTGTGTAAATCTGTGTTGGTGACCACTTCTTCTTTGCCGAGATAATCCATCCACCTCACAGGTGTGGCATAACAAAATACAGCATGATTGTCACACGGGTGTGCCTTAGGCTGACCACAATAAAATGTCACTCTAAAATGTCCAGATTTACTGTATTGTAGGGTTAGGAAACCAGTCAGTATACGGTGGGATCACCATTTGCCTCACAGAGTGCAACACAGAGTTGATCAGGTTGTTGACTGTGGCCTGTGGAATGTTGGTCCACTCTTTAATGGGCTTAAGAAGTTGCTGGATATCATCAGGAACTGGAAGACCCTGTTGTATACGCTGATCCAGACCATCCCAAACATGCTCAATGGGTGACATGTCCAGTGAGTATGCTAGCCATGCAAGAAACGGGATGTTTTCATCTTCCAGGTATCGTGTACAGATTCTTGCAACATGGAGTCGTGCATTATCATGCTGCAATATGAGGTGATGGTCGTGGATGAATGGCACAACAATGGGTCTCAGGATCTCATGGTATCACATTCAAAATGCCATCAATAAAATGCACCTGTGTTCATTGTCCATAACATATGCTAGCCCATACCATAACCTCACCGCCACCATGGAACACTCGATTCAGAAGGTAGACATCAGCAAACTGCTCATCCACACAAGGCCATACACACAGTCTGCCATCTGCCCTGTACAAGGAAAACCAGGATTCATCCATGAAGAGAACACCTCTCCAACCTGTCATATGCCATTGAATGTGAGCATTTATCCATTCAAACTGGTTACAACAACAAACTGCAGATGACCTTCCCTGAGGTTATGCAAACCGATTGTTGCAGCAGCTGTCTGGGTGGCTGGTCTCGGATGATCTTGGAGGTGAAGATGCTGGATGTGGAGGTCCTGGGCTGGTGTGCTTACATGTAGCCTGCGGTTGTGAGGCTGGTTGGATGTACTGCCAAATTCTCTGAAATGTCTTTGGAGGTGGTTTATGGTAGAAAAACATTCAATTCACAGGAAACAGCTCTGGTGGACATTCCTGCAATCAGCATTCCAGTTGCACAATCTGAAACCTTGCAACATCTGTGGCACCATGCTGTGATAAAACTGCACATTTTAGAGTGGCCTTTTATTGTGGTCAGCCTAAGGCACACCTGTGCAATAATCATGCTGTTGAATCAGTATCTAGATATGTCGCACCGTTGAGGTGGATGGATTATCTCAACAAAGTAGAAGTGCTCACTAACACAGATTTACACACATTTGTAAACTGTATTTTAGAGAAAAAGACTTATTGTGTACATAGAAAAAGTCTGATCTTTGAGTTCAGCTCATGGAAAGTGGGAGCAAAAACAAAAGTTTTGTCATTATATTTTTGTTTAGTCTGAAAAATAAACAAAACATTATGAATAATTTAGTCCCCTATTTTTAACATTTATTAATTCTATTCAAAAATATGTTGGTTTTTTTGTGTGGTTTTCCAGGTGTTTGGCTACCTCAACATGTTTGTGTGGGCGGGGAACGCCTGGTTTGTGTACAAGGAGACTCGTTGGCACTCTCAGAAGTTTTCCTCTCAACCCGGACCTGCAAGACAACAGGTCCCTGCTCCGATCTAACAAACAATGAACCCAGATTCACACTCTGAACAAACGTTAACAAACACACACCACTCAAAAAGTCACATTTTTTACCACACATTCAAACACTGACGTTTTTAAGCATTGAAATAAAATCCTCTTTAAAAGAGGATGGAGACTAAATGAAGGGTTAGATGCTGTGCTACCACCACAGTGAAACATAATTAAGATGGCTTTCAGTGCCTTTAATTTGTACTTGTTCCAAATATTTTATTAGCTCCAATGCTGATTTATATGTTAACTTCATTTTAGCGGACTTCACATGATCAGCACATGCACTCACATTGATCCCGTGTTCAAAACTGACTCCAAGTAGTCGTGCTGTTTAAACTAGGATATGTGATGTAATGCTTTAATTATAAAGTTCCCTTTTTTTTCTATTATGAACTCACAAAATGGGAGTTCCTGTCATATACAAGTGTTGCTAAGGAGCCATTTAACAAAGATTTATACATTTATGACCAATATTTTTATTTTATTTTAACAGTTGAGGCTAAAAATGCTCTTGACAATGTTTTTTAAAGTAATTTGATATCTGTAGATTTTCTTAAGACACCAATTTTGGACTTCGTATGACTCCAAGGGGGGTCTGGACCTGTTTTAGAAGTTTACATTCATCAACGAATTCTTTATATATAATTGTACGAATTTATGTTTTTTTTTATCACGCAACCATGAAATCTGCCTTTTTGTTAAACGTTCAAGATTTAGGACTTTTTTTATTTTAAATTTAAGGATGCAAGAGTCGAGCGTTGTTTTTCATATTATGTTTTTTATTAATTGGATGCCTCCGTTGTACCGTTCACCTCCTAGCAGCCGATGGCTATAAGTGCAATGTCGAGAGAAATATTTTTAAACACAACTCATGGATTCAGCTTTATTTTAATTTGTGTTTAAGCTTTAGAATGAATTGCGTAAAGTGGCTTTTCGCTCAAATATTAGGAATGTAGTTATGCTCGTGGTGCTTTATAGGATTTTGAAGTATTCTGAATGTCACATGGGTGTTATACTTACATTTTGCTTTTTTAATGTTAATATTCTGCCAAAGCGATCATTTGTTTTCCCCCAGTTTGAGCTAATTTCCCATGTTCTCTTAATTTATCACTAAACAGTGGTCTGGGTATGTGTTTAGGAACTGTTTTTGTTTTCTTTTTTTAAAGTTTTGGTATAATTCAGTGTAATGTTTGGGTAGTTTCTCATTTTTTTCATCTTATGTTCATGTAGTTTCCTTTAACTTTACCTGATACTGAAGTGAAACACCTCAGTAAGTGTGTGAGGGTAGTGTACTGGTTAAACCTCCTTCTGTTCTTTTAGCCAACATCCAATAAGTTGTATCTTTTTTTTTTTATGCGTTTGTCTTGCAGACTTGTCTTTGTAAAGAGACGTCCACTGTCTTGCATAATTTCAATGTACTTTTTCAATAAAAATAGTGTTTTTTCAGTAAACAACTTTTATGTGTGATAGTTTGTGTACCTGAAGTCTTTCGTATGGGAGAAAATAAAAGTTTATTTTAGAGATGCACAATATTGGATTTTTGACCGATATACGATATGGCAATGTTAAAACTTATTGGGCTGATAACCGATACCAATACTGATATTTTTTTCTCTAGACCTACTTACAGAGGCTACATAGCTTTCTCTGCTGTGGAATTAAAATACATTATTCTACATGATCTTTGTCAGTTTGGCCTGCTACCAAATGCAGATGCCAAAATGGAGGCTGAAAATTATGTAACACTTTAACTTGGATTATGTTTAATGTCAAATTTATTCATGACATTTACTCTCTAACACAATGACAACACTCGAACAGTCATATAAAAACAGCGCCTTATACACACACACACACATATATATATATATATATATATATATATATAAACAGCGCCTTTTATATCAGTGAGCTATTTTGATGGAATGGCCGATGTCCAATATTTAACTTTATCGCTAATATCGGACGATACCGATACATGCCGATAATATCGTGCTTCCCTAGTTTATTGTGTGTGTGTAGTTTGTTTAACAATAAGTTTGAAGATGAGCAGAAAAAATATAGCATGTAAAAACATGAAAGCCATCATGACACTAAACCAATACACATTCTTACTAGAATAATCACTGTGAAAAACCATATAATGTTGCTGCTGATCTGTTTCATGTTGCTGCTGATCTGTTTCAATGTTGATGTGTTCATGCGTGCACATCTGCTCACAGACTCATGTTCATGTTTGTGCTGATGTTCAATGTTTTATGTTATGAGTGCTTAGTGTATATTTAGTTGATGTTTTTCTTAGTTCATATCTTAGATGTCATTACTGTTTTTCTTATACATTTTATTGTTGGATGTAACTGGGACCCTGCGTACATAATTTCGCTCCACCACATGTACCACATGAGGTGCGAATGACAATAAAGAAACTCTGACTCTGACTCTGATACTGTAACTACACATGACATTGTGGTTGGTCCTACGACCTCAGAGATCACTGTGTGAAGAAACGGACAACATCGTGACTAAGTCATCCTTTGTGTGTGCGTATTTGTGTTTGTGGGAACGAAAAAGACAATTGTGGATGTGTGTATACAGGAGCTCGTCACATGACGTGGGAACAAGCGGTGTTTTGTGTGCGGCACTGACGTCATCCATTAATCAGTGTTTTTTCCTCACGCTGTCACTTCCTTAAAATCAGCATTCTGTCTGAGCTGCACCATGCCTCTGCGAGGAGGGAAAAAATATGATTTTATATGTGACAATCAGTTTGTTTTGCTAAAGAGTGTCCTTTTAAGGATACATTTGTTTGTCCTCATCATTTTGAGTTTTAAAGACATAATAAAAAGTGGTACTTACATTATTATCTTTGTTGCCCTTTTTCCAAGATGTACAGTGGAACAGTGGTTAGAGTTGCCGCCTCACAGGGAGAACATTTCATGATCGTCTGAGGCCTTTCTGGGTGGAGTTTGCATGTTCTCGCTGTGCATGTGTGGGTTTTCTCTGGGTACTCCAGTTTCCTCCCGCAAACCAAAAACATGCATGTTAGGCTGATAACTAAATCATCTCTAGTTGTGAGTGAGAGAGTGAATGGTTGTTTGTCTCCATGTGTCTCTGTGATGGGACTTGTGACCCGTCCATGCTGTCCCCCGCCTCTTGCACAGTGATGGCTAGACATGGCACCAGTGACCCCTGCGACCCATAAAGGAAGAAGCGGGTTAAGATAGTGGATGGATGGATGGATGGATGGATGACTGTTGGACAGTTTTTATTTCCAGCCACCAGGGAGCAGTGCAGTGCCATGAGACCTATCTGTGGAGATACCCTGACATCCTTAACAGTCTTGATGCCCCTGATCAGGATTTAATTAAGTTTCAGAATTTTAAATTTCAAAGTGCAATGAATCAAATAATATTTTCACTAAAAGTGTGAAAAATTCCTGTGGTAACTGTTTTTTGTTCTTTCCTGTATAGATTAAAAAAGTAGAGATGCAGCCATTGGCAGATCACATCAATCTTGGCCTGCTATAAAAGCAAATAAAGTCCAGTGCAGCGGGTAATAATGTTTTCTATATGTTTTTGTATAATACCATTTTATGATGAGAAATGTGTTGCATTAGTTGTAAACCTTAAAAATAATGTTATGCGTGATGTCACAAGATGTCATTCTCATTGTTTGAGTTGTGAAAGATTTTCAGCAACAAACCATCAACGCATCAACTAAATTTTAGCACAATATCTGCAAAACTGAATGAGTTATAACCATTGTTGTGTTTTCTAACATTGGTCAGCTGTGGCAACTATCATTCAATAATTATTTTCTGAAAGTTTAAATTTGATCCAGAAATTCATGAGGTATTTTGCTAATTGGTTGCACAATCTGTTAACACTCAGATTATGTATTGGGGATTAGCCTCTGCTCTTCAATTAATTTATTTATGCATTTATTTGTATTTTCTATATTTATTCATCTTTATAATGTCACGTGTGCGATATATTAACTGTTGCCTAGCTGTAACTGTATGGTACACAGTGAACTTTTGAACTCCTTAAAAGCTCCATATCTGTCACTCAGCCGGTCAAGCTTTTCGACAAAAGCCGAGTCCATCCGAAAATAAACGACAGTGACGTCACCGCATCTCGTTCTTTCGTTTTTTGCCTGCTGCGTGCGAGGGGAGGGAGAGAGAGCGCGAGAGAGGAAAAAAACGACTCTCAGCAAAGCAACAAGAAGGAAGAGCAATGGCGACACTGGATCGCCAAATACCAAGTCCGGATTCCTTCCTTTGCAAGCCTTGGTCTTCCTTCGTTAGTGCGGCTAAATTACGTTTTGTTGACAGTAAGTTCGTGCGTCGGTTGTGTTTCTAGCTTTTTTGCTGACAAACTGTCGGGAGTGTGCGTGTGTGGTCTCCAAACTGAGTTGAGTAAAGCTTCACCACCACCACGCAGGGTCTGTCAAAGCGCAAGCAAAGTAACTGTCAACAAAATATCACGATAAAATGCCGTGTTCGTAGCTCGTTTTAGCGGTCGTGCACGTGCGGGGCGAGCTAAGCCGTTTCGGTGCTTAGTTTGTGCCTCACGCGCGTTCAGTCACGCTCAACTGTCCAGCTGCAAGTTTGTTAGCTTTGACAGCTCTACTTGGTGTAGGAAGCGCTAGCGATGCTAATGCTAACGTGATGTAGCCAGACCCGACAGCAGCGGGGCTCCACGCCGCCCACCCCCACCAAGTTTGTTCTAAATGCTCCTGTGTGTTTGTAAGCGGATGTTTTGTTCACCCAGACGCAGTCTCACCTTTGGATAACGGCGACAAAGCGCTTTGCTGCCCGGCTGAAGCCGTGAAGCTCGGTAAAGAAGGTAAGGAACTTGTAGTAGCAGCGCTGTCACGTAGCACACGGTCGGTGATGGTTTGTTATTGTTTTGCTACACATTCACAGCAGCTCCTACGGTGCCGTTTTTACCACTTCTTGAGGGGGATAAAAAAAAAAATCACATTGATTTAGAACCTACATTTTAAATTTTTACTTAATTTTATTATTAACACCGTTTTTCAAGGGAAAAAAAAAAAAAAACTTGGTATGAAACAGAATGCACCAGTTATTATCCAGTATCATAAGCTGGTGTCGGTTAAAATTTACTTAATTTTAAAGATCATATGTAACACACAATGAAAAATATTGATAATGTTCAGTGTTGATATTCAAATAATTTATCGTTATTGTGGTTATTATTAATTTAATTTATAAATTAAGTTGTTGGGGGAGAGGCAGCGCAGAGGTTAGAGAAGGAGAGCCTGTGATCAGAAGGTCGCAAGTTTGACTCCCCGTACCCAAAAAAATCAAAATGTGGGTGGTAAAGGTGAAACACCTACACCTGCCTCCACCTTCATTTGCCCCACTCTGGGCCCTTGAGCAAGGCCCTTAACCCCCACTGTCTGCTCCCATGGGCATCCAAGATGGCAGCTCTCTGCTCCACACAGAAGGGAGCAGCCAAAAGAGGAATATATATATTTTTATAAATCAAGTCATTAAAGGAATGCATGTCGTCCGTCCCTTTTCTCATGTTATGTGTGAGATGTAGCGAGATGCCATCTTAAACCAAGTTGAGTTCAAACATTAATCAGTTGTAGATGTTCATAGGATGAGTTGTATTAAAATTTGTCCAGTGGTTTGTGAGATATGTTGCTAACAAACACTTCAATTCAATAGCTTTGTCATTCAAAATTGTGCAGTGGTTTTTAAAGCAAAAGGAGCAATTCTAGTGCAAAAACAGCAAAATAATATACACGTGTTAACAAATGTGCCCATGTACACATACAAGCATATATGTTACTCAGGTATGTTGCATGTTACACATGTGCTTACACATAGACATGGGCAAATACATTATAATTTGCTTTTGTAAATACAAGCATCGTTTACGTTTAAACTTTATATGACAAAACTGTTCTGAACAAAACACTTAATTTATTGGATACACATATTATTAGAGGTCAGCCTTAAATGTTTTTGAGCACTTAAAATATACTGGCTGTTTTTGAGGTTTAGATGTATTATTAGGTTGTGTTTGTGCTATAAGAATGCATTAAACTAAAAAATCAGTTGTGATTTTTATTAAAGATTAGGTTTTTTACTCGCGTAATAATAATTTCATGCCAGTTTGGTCAAAGTTTGTCCCAAGCTTGTTCTTATTTCTACATACTCTTCCAATTTAAAAAGCACAGCTGAAACACCTGAACAGGACTTTAATTTCTCAAACCCATGAAGAAAACCAAAAAACACAAGCTCTTCAATTTAAAAACAAAGAGTTGTAGAGCAAAAAGCAGACTTGCTCTTTGAAAGAAACAATTTCTTAACCTCGTATTCAGTAGTAGTGTCTGAATCGGTGTATATATTAGCATATTTGCTCATTCCTGTCAGTGATTCCTTTGGTCATGTTAAAGTGGGCACACAGCATAGCTTTAGGGTTTCCCTCTTAGCACTGAGCTCGTCTTACAGTTCCAGCCTCCCCCTGTGGGGACAGATCCAGCAGAGATCCTCCACACCTCGCCGTGTATAAATACACGCTGGAGCGTTGGCTGCAGCTTAGCACACTTGAGTCACCACTCGAAAGTTTGAATGCGCCGCAGCCCTCGTATGAATATCGTGACGCACACTCGGAGCCAGGGAAACTCTTCTCACTCTCAGTGGTCAGATAGCAGCCTCCCCTCTCCTCCCACGCTGCCTCCTCTTCCTCTGTCAGAGCCAGACAGGAGCGGTGCTTCCAGAATCGCTGATCTGTTGGCAACATGACACCGAGTCTTGCTGAAACTGATATATAGACATTCAAACGTCTCATGCAAGGACCGGTAATATAAATGCTATACTGTGTGAATGCTGAGTCAGCGTTTACAATATACAGGTAATTCTCCTGTTTATAGTTTATTCTGTGTTATTTTGGAATTAAGCTACCTCTGCGTTCTATGGGCCATTTTAACCAATCGCATATCAAAATGTTTGTCTTCATTGGGAATGTTGTGCTATAAAGTTTTCAAAGTATTTAAAATAATTTACATAGTATCTATATAAAAATAGACTGCCATCTTTTCTTCAAGAACTTCTTCAGAGCATAGCTTTCGTTGGAACCTATGTCAGCATACTTGCTTTATTTTGTTGTCTTATGTTACTTTAGCTACAGTTTTGCTAATTTAAGCTCGTTGTAATGGCTTTGCTAATTTAAGCTTTTAGCTACAGTTTTGCTAATTTAAGCTCGTTGTAATGGCTTTGCTAATTTAAGCTTTTAGCTACAGTTTTGCTAATTTAAGCTCGTTGTTATGGCTTTGCTAATTTTGCTAAGGTAAGCCTTTAGTTATGTTTGTCAAAATTAGCTTTTTATCCTGTAATAATTTTACTTTAAGCTACAGACTCTTTAGCTACATTTTGGCTCATTTTAGCTTCAATCCTGCTTGCATTAACAGTTCCATTTCAGCCTTTTCAACAAATGTTGTCATTCTGCACTCAGAACAGAATTTATTATGGTGAAATGTAATTGAATTCCTCAGCGCACGCACACCTGCAGTATTTATAGATGCTGGATGAGGCCAGTTTGGCAGGGATTGATGTGTGCTGCAGGTCATTAATGGTGTCTGTATCTGTCTCGCTCTCGTGCGCAGCAGAGATGACGACAACCAGCAGAGACTCTGTCTTATGGGACACCCAGACACTTTCATCGTCTCACTACAAATAGAAAGTGTTGTAATGCTGATATTTTTTTCTACATCCATCTTCATTTCCATCTGCCCTAAGGAGGAAAAGGATGATGATGTTTGCCCGTATATGTGTACATGCGTGCATGTTTTTAAAACATCTGATGAACCAATGAATGACATTTAAATAAACTTTCAGCAAAGCATTGTGTACTATATCTGACAATACAGTTAAAAGACTACAGCGTGTTGGTTTTTAGGATTCTTTATACAAATTTCATAAAGTATCAAAGATCTCTTGGCTGATGAACGAAGATGGTCTCAAAGTTTACATAAGAAAGCTGAGACTAAATAATATTTAACTAGAAAAGTGACTTTTTTATGTGTACCGGTAAATGTGGTATGAATGCTGATTCTGAGGGGCTTTGAAATTAGTTGACAAATAAATTAGCTCAATTGTTCAAGTTGAAACAAGCAAAACAGAAGCGTTAAACTAATTGAAAGACATAATAATAATAAAAAAATTAACCTAATGTTAAACAACATAATTAAAAATGGGGGAAAAAGAAGATACCGTAATTTCCAGACTATTGAACGCACTTGAATATAAGCCTCGCCCACTAAAAAAACCCAAATAAATAAATTTGGACACCTATAGGCTGTGCTTGTATATAAGCCGCAGGTTTTCATGTTGTAACGTGAGATATTTACGCGGAAATAAATTAAACTTTTAATTATACTTACTGGTAAGGTGCAAAAATACATACAGTAAATGTTTATTTTTTTCTCAATAGTGCCTGTAACGGCTGGTTTAAAAAAGTAAAATGCAGTAGCACCAGGAAGTCATTGATCCCTATTTTCTATTGAGGATAAAAAGGTCTTCCATTTTTTATTTATTTTTATTTATTTATACAGGTAGTCTCATTGAGTCACGAGGACCCACCCCCCATGAGAAACATGTATTGGGCAGCTATGCGAGTACCCGGATGTGATGAGGCTAAATGTTTTGACTGCATGAAGCTCGTTAGCCCGTCAAAAAAAATCCATAAATTAGCCGCAGCATTGTATACGCCACAGGGTTCAAAGCATGTGAAAAAAGTAGCAGCTTATAGTCTGGAAATTACTTTATTTACTTTAGCCATAAAACGTTTACTGAAAGTTAAATTATCAAAATAAGGGAAGCAATAAAACCCATATTTTCTCTGTTTGTATTTTAGTTTATATGTTGTATTTATCATTGAAAGGGCAGGTGTACATATTTGTTATTGTGTGACAGTTTTACTCCTTCCACTTGTTAAAAGTTAAGACTGTATCTTCTGCAGCTGTAAACGTTTGATCAAGAGTTGGATCATTTTGTGAAAAACCGAGAATAGACGTTTTTGTTCTTGTGACGGTGGACTGGACTCTGCAGCATTAGCTTTTCTGCCAACTGCTGGTCAGTGTGTTTACTCAGACATTTTGGTGCCGGACCAATAATTATCTGGTTAGTTCAAAAAACAACTGAGGCTGAAGTTGTAACTCCAGCCTGCGCCTTCATCTTTAACTGGAGGAGGTTGATGTTACTGAAATGTAAAAAAGCCATAAGTTGATTGGATTGTTTCCTTTTATTCAGTGAAAGGAATTCTCACTTTTTCTTTTTTATGTTTGGCATTCAAACTCGAGTGTTATTCAGCCAAGATTAACATTTTAAGGAGAAGTAATCACAGATTTTTTGGTTATTTGTAGTTTGCTCCTCAAACACTATTTTACTAACGGGAATTCATTTAATTCTAAGAAAGAATCACTGTCCAGAGATGGATTATTTGTGTAGCTCCAAACATGCTTATTCATGAGTTACTTATTGTTTTTGTAGATCATTTTCAGGCCCGTCACTTTTTTTGGCACCCTCTAATGATTGGCTTGAGAAGCACGCACACAGTTCAGGAAGAAAATGAACACTAAGTTCACATTTGATCTGGCAAACGCCGAACAAATTGTTCTTTTATTAGTCATATATTCTTGACATTTGGGAATAAAACCAAACCCCATCATATTTTAACTTGTTTTTTCTGGCTATGTGCTTTTAGGGTTGTAAATAACAGTGGCACGCTTAAATTGGCCAAGTTGTAAATCGTACAGCAGAAAAGCTCTTATAGTTATTTAAGACCAAAATCAGTAATTATCGCCCATTTCAACAACATGTACTGTCCATCCATCTGTCATCTTGTCTACTTCCTAGTACAGCATCCTCTGTTAGTGTCCATTACCTTAGATAAGGGATTGTGTTGAGGTGTGCTGAAGTGTGGATGTGTTCTTTGGAACGTAACCACTGTGATAAATCAGAAAATAGGGGCCCATTTTTGTCATTTTCTGCTCTGTTCAGTTCGATTCCAGCCCGTGGAGTTCAAGCTTCAAGTCCCGAAGACGCGGCGCTTGAACACAAGTGGCAGAGTTGAAGCAAGGCGTTCTTTTCACATGCAGTCATGGAAAACTGAGGTCTAGCTTGCTAAGCCTGAGAAAAGTTCCACCTTTACTACCCTGCTTTAATATTGGAGTACTTTAAACGATTCACTTTGGATAAGCTTTGAAAGCAGCGCGAAGATAGCTGCAGCCGTGAAACGCAGTTTAACCTCTTTTTTGTGAACACACTTAAATAAGTAATGTAATGAAACCAGCTCTGACCTTTTACTGTATGCAAACGCACATTAATGCTATCGGGCACACACTTCTGAAGTTCATGTTTAGCATCGCACACGCACGGAGCCTGCAGGGTGGCACTCTGTGTCTTAAAGTGTCTTCTCTGAGAGGCATCAAGCATGACTGTCAGGATGGCAGAAGACTCACCCATAATGTAAGGTCATGACAACATGCACTCAGACACCCACACAGTCTCCAGTATACAGTGTATTTATATACAGTATATGTGTGTATTTGTTTCTTCCTCTCGAGTGCTTACTTGAACACACATCCCATCTCCCCTCAGTGTGTCTGACTTAAGCCCTGTGCTAATGAGGGCTGTGATTTCTGTCAGCAGGACTTGTTTAGGTCCAGGAAGATCGGTTCTCAGAGCTTAGCCAGCGGAGATAATAGCTGCTTTCCAATTGACATGTTTGTTTTTCCTCAATATTTAATGTAGTCTTGTGTTTTAGTTGAGTGGGGGGGGGGGGGTGTCTCTTGGAGCTTGAGAGGATAATGTTGCCACGCTTTAGTGAATAAAGGATTTAACTGTCTTTGTTTTTCTGTGTGAACACAGTTATCACTCATGCTTCTGTGGTAAATTTGTTGTTTTCCTGGTGATGGTAGAAGAAGATAAACACCTGTCAGCTTGATTATAGGGCAACAAGGCTTAAAAATATCCTTGAGTGTTGAATACATTAAAAATAATGCATGGTGTGTAATTTTATTTAAAAACATTTTTTAGAAAATACACCTGCAACTTTATTAATTTTGGTAATTGATAAAAGTATTTTGAGGTCAAAAAAACATACAGTTTAGGTTTTCCTTTTGAAACTATCTTCCTAATTCATTTGTATGAAAACAGCTGAATTAACAATACAAAATAAAACCTTTTTCTACCATTTCAGAATTAACTGATTGTTGAAACCTGTTTAATATGTTCATCCTGTGGTGCAGGGGCCTGCAATCTGCGGCTCTGGGGCCACATGTGGTTCTCTGGGGCCACATGTGGCTCTCTGGGGCCACATGTGGCTCTCTGGTGCCTCTGCAGCAGCTCTTTCAGGCTTTGACCAAAACTAAAATAAAACAGAATTTTATTTAACTTATTGCCAACAATGAAAATTGCTAGTTTTAGCAGATGCCCTGTCATCTTCAAATATATAAAGAATAGTACAAATACAAGGCGTAAAACATGTGGACTACATCATGCTAGTAGTTTGTTAGCCACTAAACTTCCAGTCTCGCAGTGTGATCTTTCTCTGAAAACCACCAGAATACTTTGGAATATCTTTAAGACAAGCTGCTGAGAAGGAATATTTGATGACTCGAAGAATAAAACACAAAAAAACACCTGAAGTCAAAGTAAACTAAGTATTTATTTTTCTTTAAAAATGTAATTGGATATCCAACAAACTGGCCTATTTTTATAATGTCTTATCTTACTATACTATCTTCTATACTAATTGTAAAAAAATATATATTTTTTGTTTCTTTACATTAATATGGTCTTTTATTTTGTATTAAACTGTAACATCAATAAATGTTAATAATAGTTAGACGTTTTTTGTTTTATAATATCACCCCCACTGGCCAGAAAAGACACCTCCAACAGACTTGTGGTCCACCAGTTAGTACACAGGCACAGCAGGTTTTGCAGCTCCAGACTCGTTGTAATTAGTAAGCAAAGTGGCAAAAATGGCTCTTTTTATTGCAAAGATCCCTGCTGTTGTGCTTCTTTCTCTAATAATTAATTTCTCACATGAACATTCTATTGTTCACAAAACATACATGAATTAATTTTATTCAATTTATGTCCCAGTATTCAGAGGAGGACTAAGTCTGTATTCAGTGAAAAAGGACAGGCCGGTTAAGCAAAAAACACTTCTGGAGTTTGTCAAGCGTTGTCCATTTTTTTTCTTCAGTGGTTCATTTATTTTGACAATAAAACTGAGCTCACATATGATCATAGTTTCCACTTTATAATCCTTTCAAAATAAACTATTATGTCAGAAACAAATGTTGGAACGCTCGGTTGTTTTTATTTTATCCATCTTCAGGAGGAGAAGTGGAGGATGGGTGTTGTGTTGAAAAAAAGCACCCCGACTGGAAAAGCACAGACAAATTGCTGTGATGCCATCGTAAAAAAATGTATTTTTTAAAAGGCCATGACGGTCTCAATTTTTTCAATTTACCATTGTAGCTAGACTTCAACAACAAACAAAGTCACTTCCCATTTCTTAGTCTGTTGTACTGAAAGTGTCCGGTGCAAAGTAAGTAGATAAACTACCAGGTAGTCAACAATCCAGAAATACTATGATACTGTTGTGTACTATGGTAGGGTAATTTTCTCCTGCTCCCTCTTGTGTCCATCACTAATAGCTGAAAAGAGAGAAAGCAGCCAAGTCCACCTATTTAATACAACCTCCATAAAACAGAGAAAATGTGTAGGATGTACAAAAGTATATTTAATTACTTCTCAGTGACAACTACTTAATGATCATTGCTTTGGGGTCTTGTTTGTCTTTCTAATTAAACATGGCTTTAACTCTTTGTCTCTTCCAGGGATGCCTGTCTGCAGCCACTTCCCAGCATTGGAGGATTTTTGTCTTGTCGTCTGCCATGTTTGCAGTAAGGTGGTCACTCCTCAGGGCATCCTCACACATTACGGTAAGAGACAAAAGACCTTTTGAAGTATTTATCACTGGGTTTCACTTTAAAAATGCAAAACACCACATATGTGTGCACTCACAGCCACCTGACGAAAGCCGGGAAACACTAAATACAAGGTGTAGCCTTGTAAACGAGCATTTTTACCTGATCAAGATGGGCCGATTTGTTTATAAATATGTTTCCTCTTAGGATTGTGCTCAGAAGATATGGTGGGACTATTTCCTGTTCAATTTTGAGGAAAATGTGTTGAAAATTACATTAAAATATTAAATTATCTAATTTTTGGAGCATATGGTTGTGGAGCTGGAAATTATTGTTTAAAGAGGAATGTAGCAGGAAGAATGCTTTAACTTTCTAATAAACATAAGCTGGTTAAGTTATTCCCAAATAGGTTTGCATGCTTGTAAAATGTGATTGTTGTTGCTATGGTGACCATGATTTTTGGCTATTATCCTTAATAATACAGCTTAGTCATGTTGACGTCAGACATGCTGCTCAGTCATTATCAGCACTTGTAAAACATGAATCTCAGTGTGAGGAAAAGTTTAAATGTGCAACAGAAATGTATTTGAGAGGATATTTATAGAAAGTGAACTGTTATTGATGAGCTAATGAAATGACATCACTGCTGCACTCGGCTGTCATTGGCTGCCTGCCCCGTCCTGTCTACTTCCTGTTTGTTTTTCAATCGTCGCTCCACTGAGCGCACTCGCATCTGCCTGCGAGCTGCTGCTGGTGCTTCAGCCATCTGAGCTGTGTGGAGAGGCGAGGGGGGTGGTTACGGTCACGCCTAATGAACTCGCACACAAACACACTTCTCTCAATGTGGAGAAAAGACACACTCACTTTCTATTTCCTAACAGAAAGAGGTCAGGTTTTATTTTATTTTTTTATTTTTTTTGTGAGAACACACACACACAAAAAAACCTCCTGGCAGCCGCTGTTGTTTTGCCCCTGCTTCTGCCCCTCACACCCCCCACCCTCTTGGTCCTCCCCTTTTCCCTTGTTGGTGGAGTTTCTGTGTTTCAGCAACAGCAGCACATCTAGACACACATACAAACACACAGGTAAGAGTGGGAATCTTCCAAGAACTCTGTAAAACCACTGATCCCCGGGTCATGACATTATAGTTAAAACACAAACGGAGCTGCTCAATTATGAAAAACTGGAACGACAAATTAGAATATTTGCATAACCCTTTCAGAAAGAGGTTCAGGTATGGTTTATTTGTCATATACAAAAATCAACACAAGGTCAACAATGCCATGAAAGGCTGAGGATGAGAAGAACCATCTCGACTCGCCAAAAAAGAAACGACAACAAGAAATACCAAAGCATGCAGCAAAAATACAAAAAACAAGGCGCCAAAGTGAAAAAGAAATGCATCTAGTGTGGTTCGGTTAGCAGTGAGGTTCTTTCAGCAGCATGGTTCTGTTAGTGGCGTGGTCTTGTTAGCAGCTTAGCAGGTCCCGCTAGCATCTTGATGGTGGTAATAACCGCAGCAGCTGCCCTCACAGACTGCCTTCTAGAACCGGGTCCAGCAGACAGAGAACTTCCAAGGTTTTCCCCACTGAGCCGAACAGGTCCGTAGAGTTGGGCCCGTGCAGGCAGGTGGAGGATCTTGTTAGCAGTGTTAGCCGGTCTTGTTAGCAGCTTGATGATAATATTGACCACAGCAGCTGCCCTCCAGATAAGGTAGCTATCCAATATAGTTATCCAATAGCTATAGTTATTGTTATAGTTATAGCAATAGTTATCCAAAGATAACTTATGATTTACTTTGATGTGAACAGAATTCCTATTGAAGTCCCATTCTTTAATTTGATAGCATTATTAGCTGAGCTGTTCTGTGATTTATTAGGAGAAAGCCTATCCCTGACCTCTGCTGACTGGATTGCTTTCAGGTGCTTGCCCCGTCAGAACAGTTTTGTGTCGTTTTATGCATTTCCTCCTATCGTTGCTCATTTCCATCATGTCCCTGCAGCATCTTTGAGTGCAGCGCCATTGGTCCCTGCTGGGAATTCCACTTTAAATGTTGTGACCCTGAGAAGCGACCGTCCTGTTTTCTATTTGTTTTTGCATATATCCGTTGTGGTCTTAAAGTTCTGAAGCTTCTACAGAAAGAAGCAAGAAGAAGAGCTGCCTCAGGCGTCACTGGCTCCTCGCTTTACATGACTAGTTTGCTGCTTATTTTTGCTGCATGTGAACATCTCACACCTAGATGTCACTTTTCAGGCGTCCCACTATGATATACTTTAGTTTCCACATGAGAAACTTGCTCCATTTAGTGGATTTGTGTGTTTAAATAGTCTTGGAGTAAAGCAGGCATGTATATTCTTAGCATAAGTGCCCCAGTGGGGTATAAAGTAAATCCCTCATGTGTGCACTGTAAGTAATATGTTCTCTGTGGTGAACTTTCTTAAAAAAAATAAAAAAATAAATGCATGAAGAAATCAAACTTATTCCAACCTAATCAGGATATTAAAATGTATTTTTTCCCCCCCTGTGGTGAAATATTTACCTACACTGCATAGCCAGCTGCAAAACTTAATGAAACACAAGTTCTATAAGGGCGACTCTTGTTCGCATAATGTATTTCAAACAGCGTTCCACGTGCACTATTTTCCCCTGAGCAGCACAACATGCTCGAAAATGCACGAGTCACTGCAAATGTATGCTTTTGAAGCAACATGTTTAAATAAATCAGGTCTCCACTGTGTTTTCTTTTCTTTATTTATATTTTTGATAATTCATTGTCTCCCACCACTCCCCTTCTCCTGCTGCCCACCTCCCTCCTGCCCGTGGCGTGCTGTGTGAGGCGCATGATGAAAGAGGCTCGTGCTGTTGCCGTTGGTGGGAGCATGAGTCTCTCTCTTTCTCTCCGTTTGTTCGTTTTGTAACTTTTCTCTGGCTGTGGATTTATGGAGCTGTGGGGCAGATCAGATCAATTCTGGATTTCCTTTCGGTTTCATTTCACTCGTAAGTTTACCAGTGCTCGAGCTGCTCTTTGTTTCTAAGTTTCAAACAATTGTTCTGTATGTAAGTGATGTTTTGTTGTTGCTTCAGTTGGCTGAATTCAAACTAATAGCTGAGGTGTCGGACAATTTAATCCTACTTTTAAAATCTTTTAGAGGTATTTAATTAAATTTTTATTTGGTTAAAAAAAGAGATAAAAAAAATCATAATTTCATGACTATTTTAGCGATTTGCGTCTTAATATAGAACGCAGACCATGTATACAATCAGAATTTTAGTGTACCATGACTATTTAGTTTCAGTTCTCATTGCTTGTTTTGACTATAACAATCTCTTTGTAATTTGTTTACAGTAAAAACCTCGAAATAAATTCTGTTTACAGTCCTTATTTGTTACCTAAATCTCTACAACTACCGGTACATTTCTTACAATGCCACATCTTGCAGTTGCATTTTTTTACTTGATTAAATTAGTTTTTATGTTTATAGTGTATTCGATTTTATGTTGTATGTGTTGTTATATACGGTTGTTTGTAGAAATGCACGATATTGGATTTTTGGCTGATATCCGATATGCCAATATGTTGGAACTTATTTGGCCAATTACCAAGACTGATATTTTTTCCCTGAGACCTACTTACAGAGACTACATAGCTTTCTCTGCTGTGGAATTAAAATCCATTATTCTACATGGTCTTTGGATAGATGGACCGCTGGTGAGGTTTTATTTCTCCACAGTTGACCGCTCTCTCGCTTTCCTTTCTGGCCACCATGAACTCACCGTAATGGTCAGAATGGTGGTTCTTGAGATGGTTAATTAGGTTCGAAGTGTTGTAGGACTTTGTTTTAGCTCCTCCTTGCATCACTGACGCTGAGCAGTCATTGCAAATAGCAGTTCTGCTATCAGTTTCCGACACTTAAAACTTCCACACCGCCGACATTTTCACTTCCTCCTCTCCCGCCATGATCAGATCAGGTAGGCACGCGTGATGTCATAACTTTGTGCTTATCTATATATATAGATATGTATGCAAATACCTTTTATATATATATGCCTTTAATATCAGAGAGTTATTTTGATGGAATAGCCGATGTCCGATATTTAACTTTATCGCTAATATCGGCTGATACCTATACTATGCAGATAATATCGTGCATCCCTAGTTTTGCTTCTATAGCTTTTTTCCCATCAAAGAAAACGCCAAAAACACATATTTGAATAATCAATAACATCAGCTAAGACATTTTAGCATTGTATGATATAGCTTTTCTGGTTTATTTACCTTTTTTATTTATTGCTTGCATTTCATGACAGTGACAAATCATTTATTAATCGTGTCATTGTCTCTGTGTGGGTGCACCTTAGTTTAGTTGTTTATTAGCATAATTAAATCAAATTTGAAAGATTTCATCCAATCACGAGCCCTCATGAAATATTGGATAGTGTTTCCTAAGATTTTGTGTGCAAGTGGTGGTTGTGTGTACATGTAAATTAGATAAATGAACAAATGTATTAAAACATTTTGTACAATCTAAATATGACTATAATGATACAAACATGGGTTTTAGGGCTGTTGAAAATATTTTTTTAAGTGATGAGGGTGTAAAAAAATCTTTTTTTTTTTTTTTGTAGGTTTTTTTTGTTTGCAGACATGCAAAACAGAAAATATTTTCATTAAAAATTTTGGTTTGCATATTTAAACAGAAAACTTCTCAGATAAAGCAGGATTTTCTTTAACAGATCTCAGCTAGAGTGATTTTGATTTTATTTATTGTTCCTACTCATCAGAAGTGTATAAACTTAACACAAGTTCTGTGTTTTTATAGTAATGTCAATATATTTTATTTTTATTTTACAAACCGGATTCCAAAAAAGTTGGGACACTAAACAAATTGTGAATAAAAACTGAATGCAATGATGTGGAGATGGCAAATGTCAATATTTTATTCGTAATATAACATAATGACAGATCAAAAGTTTAATCTGAGTAAATGTAACATTTTAAAGGAAAAATATGTTGA